TGCTGCGAGCTGCAGTAATGGCTTTCCTGATGTGGAACTGTGTTTACAGAAACCAGCCTGAACTGGCCTCACACAAGCCATCATCGTCGCCTCCTAGGAACCTCACAAAGCACAGGATGACAAGTTGCTGCTCTGTATTTTCATAACCCTATAGTAATTAGTGCCTGGCATCTGTAATGGAAAGACAGTACATAACATCAGTTCCTAAGATGGCACTGTTTTCATTATACGTTTAATTTTTCAAAGACCGTAAAGGCAGATACATCAAAATGCCAAGGAGCCTTTTTTAATTAAAGCCTCTATCTTTTTTCTTTTCTTCTCAAGATATGCAAATGGATTGAGGCATTAAAGAGAAAAGATAAAAGAACCCCAAGCACTGTTTATACCTAGCTTTTTTGACTGCAGCTACTTATTTTGCAGAAAATGTTATTTTGACTGGAGCAAGTTATAGTGCAGCTTGACGTAACTCAAGGCCGCTTTGCTCAAAGCTCCATCACAGTGACTGGAAGGATGTCTTACTGAGTTTGGGGAGGTTTCACCCCATGGCATAGATCCTGCACCCAGATTTCATGCAGTGCGCTGCCAGAGGTGGCATTCTCATACCCCCACTGCCATTCAGCTTTTTATGATCATGCTTTGGGTTACTTGGTTGGCCCAGGTTTGGAGCAAAACAAAAGAGTGGATTACAGCTGGTTCCCCTCTTCTGCGATGCAGCTTCCTCTGCTATAGCTTAATGCCCACACTATGTGTGATTGTATACCACTGATATAATGTACCTTCTCTTAAGAACAACAGCGCCATTATCCTTGGAAAATGGGCATAGCTGGCAGCAGGTGAAAAGTTGTCTGTCCAAATCACTGGCATAAATCTCCCAGACCTCTTAGCCCAAAATTTTACCTGAGAAGATCGGGATCAAGATCCATGTTATTTAGTTGGCAGGAAAACTTGTTGGTGGGTTTCACTGAGGTCATTTAAGAACCTTGGCACTGTAGATTTTTTTATCAGCCTTGAAATAGTTAGCAAGGACATTCATTTCTGTCCTTTGCTGTAGATGCTGCCCAACCTCTCGATTCCAGGCCTAGCAGCCAAATAAATTCAAATAAGCTGATTCAAGTGCTGAAGTGCTTATTCAGGCAAAATTCACTGTTTGTTTTCCTTAGATAAAGATTAAATAAAAACGGAATCAGGATTTCTGGAACTGGCCCCTTAAAAGCTGGAAGACAACACTTTGGAGACAACTAACAGAAGATCAAGGCATAAGAGTTCAGTACAGACAGCACTACTTTTTATTTTTATTTTTATTCTTTTCTTATATATTATCTACAAGCACAAGCTTTCGTATTTTTAATGTAAAAATGCATACAGATCATTATATATATAAAAATCAACTAGCCTTGTAGCGAACTGCCAGATGCAACTATCCCCAGGTTTGGGGACAACTTGTCTGGATCCAGGTGCAAACCCAGTGGCTGATCCTCACTTCCATCCGTAGTTGCACCGAACCCCCAGATATGAAGATTCTCAAAGTTCTAGGGAAGTCTTGGTTCCTGATCCAGGTCTTGCAGCATGGGCATGACTAACTCTTCATCAATTGAAGATAAATATTTTAAAACTTCATAAATGACAATCAACTTGTTGTAGGTAACAAGTATCCATTTCACCTTTCCTCCTCCTTTTTGTTTAGCGTCCTTCCCGTCCTCTCTCCACAGAAACGATAACGGGCAGAGGAGAGGAATTTAATGTCAGTGTCATATATGTGCATTTAAATAGCAGCAGCAGAAACAGAATTTAAGCTGTCGATGTCTGCTGCAGAAAGGCTACCGAATGTGGGGTCATGTTGCATTTGGCCTTTTCAGTGCTTGAGCGCTTTTTTGGCTCAGTTTGCATGTTGTAGAAATATGACACATTGGTAACATAGCCAATAGTATGTCGCAGAATTGTGAGCAACGGTAAATCAGATTGCATTTAATACTATGTATTATGAAGCAACAGATTATAATATACTATATTATAACTGGCTTGATGAGCAGCCCATTACACTGAGGAAAAAAAAAATTAATGAGCAATTAAGGAAAGAAATTTGTGTTTGTGTAGGAGGAAAGGTCATAAAATAGCAGCCTCCTTTTTGACTGAGTGTTTATCATGTTCGACAGTTTCCAAATTCAGTCTTCGCAAAGGAATGTTACTATTTTTATTAGAGGTTCTTTATGTAACAAGTCATGTTTGCACAGCGGAACGTTTTCTTTCACCAGGATTTTATAACTTCTCCATACAGACATTATAAAAGAAAAAATAATTTGCTGGGATTCTTTCGGAAAGTATGAAGGACATAACTTAGCCTCTCCTTCCTCTCAACTCTCCTAATATGAATATGATGAATTTCTTTTCTCTTGTAATTCATGTATTACTTTTTTTGATATTTTAAATGCAGCTTTGCTCTGAAACACAAGAAAGCTTTTCAGAGAAAAGAACTTTTGGAGTTGTCTTAGAGAGGGACAAATCCATCGCTTAGAATACTGACACAATGCCTTTCCTCATCAGCTGTGTTGCCACGGGATTGCAGGTAAGGATTTTGTTTACTTCAGATTCATGCAGCATCACTGATTTGGAAGATAACAGAATGACTTGGTGAAATGCTGGCTTTGGCTCCTGATGCTGTGACATCCATGTTTGCAAGTTCAGACCTTCAGCCAACAACTACTGGTGTGTGAAGAGGCACTAGCTCTTTGTTTGGGGACAGGTGTGTCATGGAGATAGTGATGTCACCTGTTGCAAGGACCTCCTGCCCAGAAGCACGTGGTGAAGTTTCCATTGCAGTGTGTGTAGCTGGCATGTGGCAACACACCTGAATGTGAGGACCAAAATATAGATATTGATTCCAGAAGAGTGGAATGAATTTTCACTATCTAGAATGGGGGAAACAGAGAAAATAAACAACAGTAGAAATAAAATATACACCTGAATGTGATGTTCTTTGACGCTTCTTGGGTAAAAGATTTGGATTTGAGAATGTGTAAAAAAAAAAATAATTTATTTCAGTGAACTATCTTTAAGTGAATCCTTTTGCAAAGTCCTGACCTGGGATTTTTCTCTGTGCACAGGGATATATAGGCTTGATTCTCCAGCCAGTTCCACCTCTTCTACGGCTACCTATAGCTGTACAAAGTGCTGCCCAACCAGATATCCTCAGTCTCCTACATTTGTGGTAATTTGTGTTGGATAGCCTTTGGGCGTTCCTTCCCCACAGAGGCAAATAACCGTATGAAGAACAGAGCAGTGGAGAATAAACTTGTAAGCAGCTGCTACGAGAGGGCTGTTCCTCAAAGGGGAACACTGCCAATATTCCCATTTGTCATCCCGAGCTTTGGCTGTGGTTCTAGGTGATGGCAGTCTGAGCTGCACACCACGCTGTCTAAAGGGATGCAACACAACACGCTATGGAGACAGGCTGAGAGAGTCGGGCAGGGGATGAGCACAACCTGAATGAAAGTCTTTCAGTCTTGGTCCTTTCATCTCCTAGCATACAGTCAACAAGCCAAGTAACAAGGCAAAATGATGATCCGAGGGCTGGAGCACCTCTGCTATGGAGACAGGCTGAGAGAGTCGGGGCTGTTCAGCCTGGAGAAGAGAAGGCTCCGGGGGGATCTTCTAGCAGCCTTCCAGTACTTAAAGGGGGCCTACAGGAAAGCTGGAGAGGGGCTTTTTACAAGGGCGTGTAGTGACAGGACAAGGGGCAATGGCTTTAAACTGAAAGAGGGCAGATTTAGATTAGATATAAGGAAGAAATTCTTCACTCAGAGGGTGGTGAGGCACTGGCACAGGTTGCCCAGAGAAGTTGTAGATGCCCCATCCCTGGAAGTGTTCAAGGCCAGGTTGGATGAGGCTTTGGGCAACCTGGTGTAGTGGAGGGTGTCCCTGCCCATGGCAGGGGGGTTGGAACTAGGTGATCTTTGAGGTCCCTTCCAACCCTAACCATTCTATGATTCTATGAAAACTTGATGGCTGGCTTAAATGAGATACATGAGAGAGGAAAAGGGAGGAGAGAAAAACGGACACCTTTTATCCCAGGCACGAAAATCTGATAAAACGCACTTTCAATTGAATGTGCCAGATACAGAGTCACAAAAAAACTGCTGGTTTAAACCACCGAGTGCTTCAAGTAACATCTGGAAGGTTAAACAGCTGGAAGTTATGGCCTTTTGATATGGTAGAGGCCATTCACATCTGATTTACATTTGGGCTTAGGCTTTAAAAACTTGCCTTTGCATGGATTCAGTTCTTCTTCGGTATAAAATAAAATAAGAGAAACTCCTTGAACTGAAGTAAGACCAAAACAAAAAAGGTAAAAGCTAAAAACTACCCATAACTAAATCAATAGTAATATGGTTATTTTCTTGTTCAATTTCCCAACACATATACTCCCATTTCCCCAAGTACAGTATTGCACTTTGAGGGGGAAATGATGAAATGCCACTGGACTAGCTGATTATTTCTTGATGAATTCTGCAGTTTCAGAGGATCTGGAAAAGCAGCTGAACTTCAGCTCTGTTGAAATGTGTGTCTTACTGGCTAAACGCTCCGTGGAAAACACCTTTCCTGTATTTTTTGCATATCTTGCTAAGAACATCAGCACTCATAGATTTGACAAAAATAACAACAAGGAAGGACAGTCTGGAGTTAAAGCACACAATGCGCCAGTTTAGAGCTGGTGATGGGCATCAGATGAACTTTCTGGTAAAACACAGCAGCCTCTATGTGTATTCAGTCCTTGAGAACACTGGTTGTGATGGTTGTTGATGGACTGAAGACTGAATCACACCCTCCAATGGCTACTGAGCAGTTGGGATGGCTGGAAATGATGTTTAGGCACTACTGACTTGCAGGGGATTGGAGCTGGCCTTGTAGAAGCAGAAGACACTCTGTCAGTGCCAATCCCCACAATCATCTAGTCCTTTGGAGTTTGCTTCATTTTTTCTTTTTTTCTTTTTTTTTTTTTTTTTCCCACATCAGCCAGAAGCAGCGTGGCTAAATATATCTTGAAACAGGAAAAAAGTCTGATCCTGTGTTATTCAAAAAAGTGGTGTGGTTTGTCTTTTCTATTTTTTCATTGCAAAGCTTTGACCATTTTTAATTAAATGTGCTCTGCCTGCCTTGTCCCTAGTCCAAGCTAATATGCTCTAAAATGCTTCTCTGGCTTGGTACAGCTCTTTTTAGCTGCTGATTTTGGTAAGCATCTTATTAATTGCCTGCTTGACGTGGGTGGTGGAGCTTCGTCTCCGAGTCTTGCCCTGGACCATCTTTCGACGCCGTACCTCACGACAGAGCTCATAGAAGGCCTCCATAATGTTGCCCTCTCCTGTGCAAGCAGAGCACTCATAAAAAGCACATGCTAGTTCTGTGGCCAGCTTTTCACCTTCCTCTGTGCTGACCTGCCTGGAGTGATCCAAGTCTGCTTTGTTGCCCACCAGGATCAGGGTGACGTTTTTGGGTTTTTTAACTTCATCCAACAAGTTCTTAAGTGGCAGCACTTCCTCAAAGCTGCCTCTGTCTGTGATGTCATAAACCAGCACGAAGCCTTCACCCCATCGCACATGTCCTTCTTTCTGAATAGCGTCCTCCTGTTTTGAAAAGACAGACACCAGCCTTAGGAATTTGATTTATGAAGAAGACACTAGGCCTTCAGGTAGACGTTGGTCCTCCAAAGCCTGCTGTATATCTGCTTTACTTTACGCTTTATGAACGTCACCTTTTTTATCATGCAGCATAGGAGATCTGCTCTAGCGTAGTGCCACAGGCTGCCCGTGGGACGGCTGGTAGGAGGCAATTGGAACAGGGATTCTGTTGAATGATACCCAGCACATGAACTGTGCAGCGTGACCATCTGCCACGTTTTGCAAAGAAGGGGGACCTGGCTATGGCAAAACTGCTCCTCACTTTGGTGGGAATCATAGACCGAGGCTTGTCACTTGACTGTAGAAACAGACTGTGACTTTGTGCATAGTAATGATGCGTTGTTGGGTTGGCCCTGAATCAAGGAGCGAGAACAAAATCATTTTAATCCCTGACTTTCTTCTTCCGGTGTCTGAAAACTCTAAGCAGGGTCCCTTGCAGAAGGGGCTGGATGCAGCACGCAGGGTCCCTTGCAGAAGGGGCTGTATGCAGCACACTGGGTCCAGCAGCAAGCTGGTGGTGGTGTCTGTTCCGATGGCTGTTCTCTGTCCCCAGAAGCAGAGCCCACCTGCCACCCACCGCACTGCTGCCACCGCCGCACTCCCCTTCCCTGCTATCTGAGCCAAGGTATTGGATAACAGCACATGTACCCACGCACCTGACCAGCTGTGTCTAGTATCTCCATGGAAACCACTTCATCATCAATGGTAGCTTGGTGACGATATGTAGACTCTAAAATAAGAACACATTTTGTGAAATGTATTAAAAGAAGGCAATTTTTATTTTTTTAATCTTCCTTACAGCTACCCCAGCACAAGACCTGAGATGTAACATCCAGCTTCACTAAATTTTATTTGTTGGAGCTCTTCCAGCCATTCTGGAGGACACTCAAGTCCTTTCCACGATGGTGGCTATTAGACACAGCTCTTTCTTTCCCATGTCTTACACCAACAAAGGGCTGTGCCTGTGGATGCTGCACTCCACACCCAACAAAGGGACAAAGCTGCCTGTGGCAAAGAGCTCCGCAAGGCTGCAGCCCGTTGTTTCATGTTTGCTCACAGGGAAGGCTGCCATCTACGAAACACAAATACCACTACTCTCAAAGTATCCAGCTCAATAGCCTGTCACTGCATAGCTTGAGGTCTGACACGATCAAAACCAGTATGGTTGCAGATCAGGGAACCTAACCACTAAGCTCAGGCCTTATACTGTGATAAAACTGCAGAACAGTTAGCTATTTTAGGAATGTATCTTTGAAACATGCTGAAATCATCACATTCCCCTCTTCTAGCAAGGGCTCAAGCAGTGATTTCCCTGTGTATGATTTATAAGGATAACCAACGCGTACTAAGCACTCACACTATGCTACAGGAAAAAAAAAAGGAACCTATTTACTGTGTCCCAGGTTCTGGAACCATGCAACTAATCAGAAAGCTAATGACAAAAGGGCTTGTTTTATCTTAATGACCCGATAAGTTAAATTTGATAGCATTTGATCTAAAGCTTGGAAAGTTCTCTGTGCTAACATTCAGATTTATTGCTGTTGCTAGCTCACAGATGTCCTATATCAAAAGGCAAATGCACATGCTCTAAAACTGTGGCCAGTGATTACGAATGCTTTGCACTGTCAGAGACACAATTCTTTTATTTGGTGCAAATCTCCTCAATAGAAACGAAAGACCTCTTGAAGGAAACATGTTTCTTGAATTTGAACTTCTGAAAGGGCTCATGTTTGGTGAAGGCTTTTCTTCGTTACACGCTTACGAATCTCACCTCTTCACAGCGATGAATGTTTCAGTGCTGCCAGTGCTGCAAACACTCTCTTCCCAAACCAAAAATGTCACTTCCCTCCTGTGCCATCTTAATTGCTTTAAGTAGCACAGCTGCCTCTAATAGGGACAAATGGTCAATTTAATTAGGCAGATGGCAAGCAATCC